TCAAGTTTCAGATTTGTACCAGATGCTTGAAATTCACATAACATTGTCATCAACATTAACCAGAGGTAAAAGTTGATTGTAAGCAAGAGCACAAGACATTTGAGATCAAATTTCCTTCTTTGAGAAATTAACCTACCTGGTACTAAAACTAGATATATTTTCTTTATGAGTTTGGGGGAAAGACCATTCACTGAGAGCTAAGCTGTGAAAAAATATGAACATTTTATGAATTTGTCTCTCACACAAATGTACTTGAGGTTGTTCTTATGACAATATTTAATAAGCAACTGCTACCACGGTCCTAAGACAATTGGCTTTAAGTGTTGCTACATCAAGACCAGCCCCAGAGCTGTGAGTGACAAGGGCCCAGATGAAGATAGCCTTGAATGCTTGATTTGAGAATTCATTCACTGGTCCCTTTCCAACCAGCCTCCAAGATTTCTGATAATGTGTGCAGAGCATTTCATAAACATAAATCACCATCTGAGTGTAAGGTTATAAACTAGAGAATAACAGCTAATGTTTATTTTGTGTTTACTGTATTCCAGACTTGTTGATAAGCACTTTACAACTATTATTTATTATCTTTGTTTTTTAAATGAGGAGACTGAAGCCTGAGAAGTTAATCTGTCCAGGGTCACGATGCTAGTAAGTCAGCAATGGAACCCTGGCAGTCTAGTTCAGGAGCCCATATTCTTGACCATGCAATTCTTAATCAAAATTCTATCTCTTACATAGATAATGAGACTCCTTCCCTTTAAAAGGTACACCCAAACCTCCTGCATACTATTTATAGCCATCATTAAAAAACAACTCATGGGGCACCTGGGTGGCTCAATCAGTTAAGCATCCAACTCTTGATTGGTCATGATCTCAGGGTTGTGGGATTGAGCCCTGCATTGGGCTCTGCACTTGGCAGGGAGTCTGCTTGAGACTCTCTCTCTCCCTCTCCCCCTTCCCCTGCTCATGCTCTCTTTCTCTCTCTCTCTCTCTCTCTAAAATAAATAAATAAATCTTTTTAAAAAACTCACTCCTGAATATTTTATATGTTTGTTATATATTGCTGCTTAATGAATTATCTCAAAATTTGTCAGCTTAAAATAATAAGCACACATTATCACAGTTACTGGAGGTCAGGAATTCAAGATGAGGGATTTGGCTCATGGACTCCTGTGTTGCTCTCAAACACTCATCTGAGGGTTTGACTGAGGCCAAGGACCTGCTTCAAGATGCTTCACTCACATGGCTGTTGGCCTCAATTTTTGTCACACATACCTCTTCATAAGGCTACTTGAGTGTTCTCATGACATGATAATTGGCTTCCCCCAGAACAAGTGATCCAAAAAGGAGAGCAAGGCAGACACCATGTGTCTTATGTAACCTAATCTTAGAGGTCACATACCATACTTCTGTTTTAGCCCATCATTACAGGTGAGTCACTAAGTCCAACCCAAATTCAAAGGGAAGAAAATTAGGTTTCACCCTTTGAAGGGAATGTCAAAGAATTTTGAACATATTTTAAGCCCACCACTGACATTTATCTCATTGTAAATAAGTTAAATATCTCTAGCTCTGTGACATCTTTTCTTCCTGCTGTCTTGACTCCATTGCAATGTGCCAAAAATGCTGAGCTAACCACTTAGCTGAACATGCCCTCAACTTGTCCCAGGTCACCATTCATACTTATTGGGAGGGTCTCCATCAGAAGAAACACAAAAGCAGTCATTTACCTAAGCCCTGCCTGGCAGCCATGTGATACCCTGAATACCCTGTTTCTGCCACATTGACAAAATTGATAAATAAGCAAAGTTTGTTTCACAGTGATTGTCACAAATTTTCCCTGGATCACAGAATCCTCCTTCTACCTGCCCTGGGCCAGGATTCCCCACTCAGGTATGCCTGGTAAGTCACTCATCTCCTCAGAACCTCACTCTCAGGGGGCAGTGAGTAGACTGATTCAATGTAAGCCAGAGTTTCTCAACTCTGGCACTATTAACATTTGGGGCTAGATATTTCTTTGTTGTAAAGGCCATCTTGTGCATTATAGGATGTTTAACAGCCTCCCTGGTCTCTACCCATGAGATGCCAGTTAGCACATCCCATTTGTGATAAACAAAAATGTCTCCAGACATTGTCAATACTCTTGGGGTGGGGGGGCAAATTTCTCTTGATCAAGAACCACTAATTTAAGCTATTATGACTGAATTTGGCTGAGTAAAATACGTGATGGTATCATCATCAGATAAAACATATGCTGAGATGCCCCATGCTTCATCTATATGAAGTAATCCAAGATATTTGGAGTTAAGCAAGAAAGATTTCAGCATGACTCAATTATTTAATTTAGGTAGTGTTTCTCCAGTTGTTACCTCGCTTTCCTTCTACTAGCTGATTTCTGGGACAGAGAAGATGCTCTGTACAGCAGGTTATGATATGTTATCTCAATGTTACAAATACTAGAAGACTCTGGAACACGATAAAGGGGAAAGAAAATGAGGGGAAGTACAATGAGAATAAGGGTAGCAGTAAAAATAACTTATTATTTCCATGTTAAAATTATTTTAAGATATCTATTAGATGTTTGCCTTTATGGGCCATGCCTTTATGGCAACCATGGACAAGTCACTTCACTAAACATTTTGTTCAAAATATTAACTAATTTAACTTTTTAACAACTCCATGCGATAGATACTATTATTTTCCTTTTCACACACAAAGAAGCTGAGGCAGATATATTATCTTGCTTAATAGCTAGTTTTAAAAATGCTTTCATATCTCTCTCTCACTCCATGCTCCCTCAGGGTTCTGTTTTTGTTCCACCTGTACTTCTCACTCTTCTCTACAGTGAGTCACACAAAGCATTGAAAACTTACTTAGAAAAAGAATCACAGAAGTTCCCAAGTACATCTAGCTCTCCATTATCTGGAGGGAAATACTAAAACCTAGAGTCAGTAGGAAGAGAAAAGTTTGTAGACTAAGTTTGTAGACTAATTACATCATTAGTTTTTGATGTAGTGCTCCATGATTGGAACTCATGCTCTTGAGTGAATAGGAAAGTGGCCTTGTCTTCAAGGAGGTTGGGGGAAATAGGCTGAGCCAAGCTGATAGGAGATCAAGATTGGAGGGTGATGTGAGGGAAGACAAAGTAAAAAGAGGCATTTTTGCAAGGCAGAGGACAGATACAGTTAAAACACAGCTTAGATTTTAGTAGAAACTTAACCCATGACGTTGAATGAAAATAGGAACTAATCCAAGGAAACTGATGTCAGCATTAGACTGTACCTAAAAAAATAAATAAATAAAAAATTAAAAATGTGATCCATTGGGTGACACCATGAATAATTGTTAAGTGACTACTTTTTGTGTCCAGTCATGCCCTGGGTATGACCCTCCTCACTTCCCCTTCTCAGAGCCTTCAGCAGCTCTCTACTGTCTCCTTAGGTTCCTTAGGTCTTCGATATGACCCTATTCTACCTTCTCAGCTCATTTTCCCTGAAATGCCTTTCCCACCTCCAACCTCAGTTACTTCTATTTAAAATGCCCTTTTCTCAGTATTTGTTCTTTTAAAAATTTACCCTCCTTCAGGGCTCAGAACTCCAGTTGAAAGCACCCTCTCACTTTGATACCTACAGTTCCCAGTCTCTACCACTTCGAGGAAAGTTTTGAGTTTACCCTGTATTAGAGCTGTGGGGGCACCTGGGTAGCTCAGTCAGTTAAGCAGCTGCCTTCAGCTCAGGTCATGATCCCAGGGTCCTGGGATTGAGCCCCGCATTGGGCTCCCTGCTTGGTGGGGAGCCTGCTTCTCTCTCTTGCCCCCTGCTTGTGCTCTCTCTCTCTGTGTCAAATAAATAAATAAAATATTTTTTAAAACTAATGAGCTGTGTATCTGTCTATACAGCTACTAAACGGTGAACCTCTTAAGGGGAAGGAACAAGTTTTATTCCTCTTAGTCTACAAACTTTGAAAATCATAGTGCTCAATAAATATTTGTTGAATTAAATTAAAATTTGAGTGTTTGACATCTTCATTTTTAAAGATTAAGCAGAAACTAAGCCAGCAGAAAAATTTCCACTTTCTCATATATGCTGCCAATGTCTTAATAACCTTGGCCTTTGTAGAACATTTTTTATTTTTGAAGTGCTTTATAAATAACCGCTAGTTAACCTTTCAGTAGCCCTGGCCTTGTTGTCTCAAGTAATAGGGCAATGATACCATACCCCTTAGGATAACACTGGAGAGACTCTCCATGAAGGAGTGAAGTTGGATGCTTTTCAGAGCACAGGGAAGCAAGAAACCAGCAAATTCCAAATGCAGTGGCCTGCCAGTCACCACAGAGGGGCTGAAGCAAAGATAAACACAATGAAAGCAAAGACTTTGTTTTCTGTTTCTCCTTTTTCTTTCTTACTATAGATGACATTGTGTTCCTATGTCTCCATGCTTATTTTTATAAATTCTAGAAAATAACTCAAGTTCTCTCTAGTCTAAAAGTCTATTTTTGCATGAATTAAGTCCCAAATCCCAAAGTATAAGTTACTATGTATGGTTGTGTTAGAGAGACAAACAGATCAAAATAACTTTATTAAACTCATGAAAGAGCATACTATCACAGACATAGCCAACTTGAAGCCAAACCATTATGTAAATATCTAGGTAAAAATCAGACATTTTAATTCTAGAGGGGAGGAGGGTAGGGGGATGGGTTAGCCTGGTGATGGGTATTAAAGAGGGCACGTATTGAATGGAGCACTGGGTATTATATGCAAACAATGAATCATGGAACACTACATCAAAAACCAATGATGTAATGTATGGTAATTAACATAACATAATAAAATAAAATTTAAAAAAACCAATTCTTCCTTTTAATACAAGGAACAATGCTTGTTCTCTCTACAATAACCATTAATTCATAAAAAATCAGATTCCACATAATTTTTCAGGAGCATATTTACTAACTAAACTAGAACACATGTGTACATAGATTTTAAGAGTTTGCCTACCTGAACAGAATCCTTCATATGTTCACAGTATTTCCAGGGCTTGTGTTCTGGCATCATCCACAGCTTTCCCTTGAGAGTCTCCATTCCCAAGCCTCAGTCACACTGTTGCCCAGAGTGGTCCTCTTGTGGCAGAAGAGTTTAAAGACTAGCTGCTGCATGGAGCTTTCTCCAGTATTCTCTCCAACAGAATTACTCACTCATTCCCCTAAGATAGCATAGAATCATGTTTAATAGAATTTACTTCAACATATTAGTCAAACATTTGCTATGTGCTAAGCACCATACATCCATTAAACATCTGTAATACTCTGCCTTATATTATAGTTAAATGTGTACACAGTGCTTCTAAGAAATTGTAGGCATCTTAAATATAGAACTGATATTATCACCAACACATTGTTTGAGGAACTTCATGTATACTAAAGCATTTATTATTTAAATTGGATAATATTTGAACACATTTTCCCATGGAAACGTTAAACCCAGTAGATATTCCCAGGTCAGGAAATAAGGTTGTATTAAGTTGGCTAAGGTGGGGAATCAAGCTTTCCCTTCAAAATTGTTTGTGATTTTCTAAATTCATTTTTAAAGAATGTCTGAATTTAGTGATAAACACATCATTCTTACAAGAAAATTGTGCAAAGAATTTTGGATAGTGATATCTAGACTCATGTATAGTACTACAAATTAGAAGAAACTTACATTTCCAACAACAGAAAATTATTTTTTAAATATAACAATAAATTTTGTTTTGTTCATACACTAGAACACTATAAAGTCATTAAAAATTGTGTTATAAAAATTAGCATATTGTGAAAAAATATTTACAATATATTATTAAGTGAAAAAAATATGAACACTTAATGAATTAGTCTCTCACCCTAATAGATCAGAGGTCATTTTTAATTACAATATTTTACAGGAAACCATCACTATAATCTGAATTTGTCTTAGGTACTGAGATCTCAAGACCAGCCTCAGGGTATGTGTGTGTGTATATGTGTGTGTATGTGTGAAGGGCCCAGATGAAAATAGCTTTTAATGCTTGATATGAGAATTGATTCATTAAGCCATTACTAACCAGGCTCCTGACAACATACAAGAAATGGTTTGTAGAAGAAGAGAAAGAAGGATGAGGGGCAGGAGGAGGGAGAGGGGGAGGGGGAGGGAGGGAAGGAAGGAAGGGAAGGGAAGGGAAGGGAAGGAAGGAAGGAAGGAAGGAAGGAAGGAGGAAGGAAATAAGGAAGGAAGATCTAAGAAGGTAGAAGGGAGGACTTGAAAAAGAAAAAAGCAGAAATAAATAAAATATAAAACAAAAAAGAGAAGGGTTTGCTTCAATGGTGCAGCTGGTTAAGCTCTGGCTCTTGGTTTTTAGCTCAGGTTGTGATCTTGGGGTCCTGAGAGTGAGCCCTGCATGGGGTCCACACTCTGTGTGGACTCTGCTTGGGATTCTCTCTCCCTCTGCCCCTAACCCCCACTCTCCCTCTCTTCCTCTCTCTCTCTCAAATAAATATGTAAGTCTTAAAAAAAAAAACAAAAAAACAAGAGGAATTTTAAAAACCAAAAATTGATTTTTTGAAAAGCTAATCGAGTCAATAAATCCCTGGCAAAAAGTGATCAAGACAAAAAAAGAGAGAAGACATAAATTGCCAATTTTAGGAACTGAAAGGACTTCACTTGAGATCTTGCAGATATTAAAAAGATAGATTAAATAAACAAATTTCTTTAAGAATCCAGTTAACCAAACTGACACAATAAAAAACAGAAAATCAAATGCATCTATATCTATTATAGGACTGTAGTCTGTAATTTAAAACATTTTCACGAGAAAACTCCAGGACCAGATGACCTCATTAGTGAATTCTTTCAAATGTATAACATCAATCTTATGCAAACTCTTCCAGGGTTTTAATAACAAAGTGTAATTCCTATGATGCCAGCATAACTTTGATATCAATACTTGGCAAGAATATTACAAGGAAAGAAAACTGCATTAAAATTTCTCCCACAACATGGGTGTGAAACACCTATAAAACACTAATAAATCAAATCTAATAATATATATAAATATCATAATCAAGTTGGATTTAATCCATGAATGTAAATTTTTAAAAATATATAAATTAATTAATGTAATTAATGACAAAATAAGGAGAAAAAACATGTAGATTATGTCAACAGAAAAAAATTTGATAGAAATTTGTAACTCATTATTTATATATATTATATACATTTATATACAATTTTATTAAACTGGTAATGAAAAGGAAATTTCTTAGTATGATGTGATTAATTACATAATCTAAAAAACAAAGACTACCCAGTAAATGTCCTGCTTAAAGTTGAAAGACTGTAAGTTTTATCCTCTGATAATGAGAATAAATAAGAATGTCTGCTACTATGACTTTATTCAACAATATGATAGAAGTCCTCAGTATTGTTCTAATAACAAACAATAAGAAAAGTTATAAAGACTAGAAAGGAAGAAGTACAACTGTCAATATTCATAGATGCTAGTGTACACAGAAAAATTGAAAAGATCTATGATAAACTACTAGACTCAATAAATTAAATTATTAAGGTAACTAGCTGTAAGGACAACATAAAAATTGTTATTCTATGTAGTAGACAAAAGCATAATTAGAAAATTAACTTTTAAAAAACCAATTTACAACATCAAAAACATCAGCCACCTAGGACTTAATTTGAGATATATATAAAACCACTACAGAAAAAAAAAAAAACAGATTTTATAAAATCAAAATAAATGGAGTGATATACCACTCAAGGATTGAAACACTCAATATTTTTAAGATACTAATTTCTTCAAATATCTCTATAGACTCAATGCAATCCCATTCAAATTTCAGCAGGAATTTTGGTGGAAAGTGACAAACTGATTCTAAAATTTTTATGGAAATTCAAAGGGGCAAGGATAGAGAAAACAATCTTGAGGAAAAATAAAATTAAAGGACTTCTACTATGAAACATTAAGACATTACAATACCAAATATTAAGATATTATAAAGCTATAGTAATTAAACAATGTGATATAATGATAAACAAATAGACCACTGGAAGAAAATAAAGAGTTTAGAAACATTTAGTCATGACCTAATTTTCAATGAAGATGAACTGCTATAGAGTAGAAAAAAGAAGAAATTTTCAATAAATGGTACTGAAACAATTGAAAATCCACATGGGAAAAATAAATAAATCCTAACTCCGCCTCCACCACACACAAACATGAATCTCAGATGGATCATAGATCAAAACAGGAAAGATAAAACAATAAAGCTGTTAGGTAAAAAATACAAAAAAAGACTTTACAACCTTGGAAGGCAAAGATTGCTTAAACAAAAAGGAAAATGCAATAACCAAAAAAGGTAAAAAATGATAATTCAGACTTCATTAAAAAGCACATCAGGGGGACGGAGCAAGACCTGGATTTCTTCTCCTCTCAGGAATTCAGCTGGAGAGTGATCAAACCATTCTGAATACCTACAAACCCAACAGGAGATCGAAGAAAAGAAGAGCAACAACTCTCTCATCAGAAAAGCGACCACTTTCTGGAAGGTAGGACGTGCGGAGAAGTGAATCCGCGGTGATAATCGGGAGGATAGACGGCGGGGGAGGGGCCTCCGTCTGCCACTTCTGGCAAGTGATAGAACCACGGAGCACAAAATCGGAACTTTTAAAAGTCTGCTCCGCCGAGGGACGTCACTCTGGTGGCTAAGCGGGGGGTGGAACCCTCCGGGACAGTGTGGTCTCAGGACCCTCGGGGTCACAGAAAGACCGGGGGTGCCTGAGTGCGGCAGAGCTCCCAGGTATCGGAGCGGGGAAGCCGGCTGCAGAGGCGGAGCCCAGGCGCGGGCTCTCAGCTCGGGGTGGCCATAAACCGGGATCCGCGGCACAGTCGGGCCCCTGCTCCTCCAGCAGGGACCCAACAAGCGGCAGATCCGGGGAGACTCCCCTTCCTCCCCGGGAGGAGCCGCGCAGGAGTGCACCACAGGGATCTGCTGGGTTTGGAGACTCCAGCCGGGGTCGGGCGCTGGAGATAGAAACGCGCGGTCACAGGCTGGGTGAGCACGGAGTGCGGCCAGAGAGCGGGGAGACGGGAGTGACTGATGGCTTTTCTCTGGGGCTCACTGAGGAGCGGGGCCCGAGTTCTCAGCTCCTCCGGGGCGGAGATTGGGAGGCCGCCATTTTCACTCTCCGCCTCCAAAGCTGTACGGAAAGCTCGCAGGGAACAAAAGCCCCGGAGAGCAAACCCGAGCAGATTACTTAGCCCGGAGAAGGCAAGGGCGGGGCAATTCCACCTCCGGCAAAGACATTTGGAAACCACGGCAACAGGCCCCTCCCCAGAAGATCAGCGAGAACAGCCAGCCAAGACCAAGTTTACCGATCAATGAGAACGGCAGAACTCCAGCGCTAGGGGAATACTGCACATAGAATTCATGGCTTTTTTACCATGATTCTTTAGTCTTTCAAAGTTAATTTTTTTTTAACTGTCTTTTTTTCTTTTTTTTCTTCTTGAATTTTTCTTTTTCCCTTTTTCAACCAACGCCTTATCAATCCCTTTTTTTAAAAAAAACATTTTTATTTTTCATTTTTAGAGTCGTATTCTATCCCTTCATAGTAGTTACCCATATTTTTGGCTTATATATATAAGTTGTTCTCTCTTTAAAATTTTAAGAGAGTTTCTTCTAACAGATTAAAATATACCCTAAATCTCTAGTATATGGTGTTTTCTATTCCCCTGCCTGATCACATCCTCTCCCATTTTTTTTCTTTTTTCTTTTTTTAAATCCTCTTCTTTCTTTTTTCAAACAACTTCTTATCAATTCCTTTTATAAAATTTTTTATAATTTCCATCTTTACAGTTATATTCCATCCCTTCATCATATCAACCCTTATTTTTGTACATATATACGTTTTTCTTTCTTTAAAATTTTGGGAGGCACTTTCTTCTAAAAGACCAAAATACACCCCAAATCTAGTGTGTGGCACTGATCTATATACCAGCCTGATCATATTTAATCACATTCTGGTTTTTTTGTTGTTGTTGTTGTTTTGTTTTGTTTGTCTTTGTTTTTACCTTTATCTTTTTCTTTTTTTTTTTTTCTTTTTCTTTTTTCTCTCTTTCCCTTTCTTTTCCCACTGCTTCAGGTCTTTTCTGATTTGTTTAGAGTATATTTTCTGGGG